AAAAAAAAAAAAAAAACAAGCAGGCTACACACCTAGATGGGCAAATGATGGCCCTTTTTTTTTTTGGAAGCAAAAATTAAACATAAACGGCCCGCTCGGTTTTGCAAATGCAAGAACTGGGCAGATGCCAACGTACATGATCTGCATCTGGATGCGCAGATGTCCAAGTGCCTTCCGACTGTGCTACGTCTGTCTTTCCAGACATCAACGAGCCATTATTTGTGTTCTTCAGCAGAAGCCGGTCCTGAATTACACCCGTTTTGTTTTTCCGACCGTATGTCACAGACCTCGTCTCTTCTGATTTCTCTTTTCTTTCTTTCTTTTTGATTTTTTCCCCCAATACTACGGTCATCGACAAAAGGCGTTCAAAACTTTCCGAATCACCAATCCGAACGGCTGATGTGCTGGACTTCAAAACCTCCATAACAAACCAGCTCCCGACTTTTTTTTTTTTTTTTTTTTTTTTTTAACCAGCCTCCTGATCTATTTCTCTATCGCTTTTACGAGTTTTATAACTATTATAATATTATTCGATAAACCAATCATGGTAAATGATGACAAGTTCATAACCAATCACGGTACATGATGATAATCAATCAGGCTGTATAGACGCACCTTCAATTTGATGGAACTCTGCGAGATGGGTTTTGTCCACTGCCTCATTTCTGAACACTCTATCGATGGAGAAATATTTCTTAGGCTGGAATCCGTCCTGCAACAAAAGCGTTATTATCCACACACACAGCCAACCCGAAGTACACACATTGTGTTAAATGCGAGTTCGACCAAGTACAAAACCAGTGTCCTTTCAGGCTTTCGAGTTTGAAGTTTCAACATTAAAGTCTGAAAAAAAAAAACGACCAACAAGCCTAGCTCAGTTGATACACCCATGCACTGTCGAAATGTAGACCAAAGTTCAAAATTCAAATCCAGGTGATGGAACTTGAAATGATATGAAATCAAATATTTGAATTATGTTTCTGAATAACCTGCGACGGTTCAGTTCAACAAGTATGAAGGAAAGAAGATGATATGAAATCCAGGCTGTTGCCCCTTGAGGGGGAAAAAAAAAAAAAAAAAAAACATAATAATAATACAGTTTAAAACCACCACTACATCATGAAAAATCCGCTAAGCTCCTGCAAAAGGAAATCAAACAGAAGCTGCGATCATCCGACCATCAGTCCAGTGAATTGAAAGTTTGAACTTTGAAGTGTCTTTGAAGTTTCTTTGAAAGTTCTTTGAAGTTTCCTTGAAGTTTACTTTGAACTTTGAAGATTTGAACTTTGAAATTTGGACTTCGAAGCTTGAGCCAAAAAAGGGCAGACCTCCTTGTAATCGGTCCAGGCAGCCCTAAGAGGGATTGGCAGTGTAAAAGTTGAAAGTTAAAGTTGCAAAATTGAAACCTATCAATGTATTGTCACATAATAAAACATATCTATCAGCAAAAAGAGCGCACTTTGCAAAACAAATGACAGAAATACACCCGACACACATGAAGAGCATATTAAAACCGTTTTTTTGAAATTTTTCTTATGACCATTTCTTCTCACATAGGCGTTGTGCTTTACTGACTTATAGTTGTCGATCTGTTAGATCCCCGAAAGCGCCTCCCCAACTACTCGACCATTCACAGTCCACCACAGTTCGGTACATGCACCGATTGTCAGAGAAAAAGTGGAGAGATCGACGATGAGGAATGTTTTCTGCATTTTCTCAACAATGATGGCGATACTAAAGAAAGAAAGAAAGAAAGACAGAAGGAAAGACAGAAAGAAAGAAAGAAAGAAAGAAAGAAAGAAAGAAAGAAAGAAAGAAAGAAAGAAAGGGAAAAAAGGATTATGGTGATATTGAATTCTCATCACTGACCACACTGCATGCTGTACCGCGACACCATCCACTGAAAGCACACAATTGACACGCACGGAGGGCAAGCAATGCTCGCGGGCAACTAGATCACAACTACCTTAACAGTGGTAAGCTGGTAACACACAGTTGGAAGATCCGTTACAGAAAAGAGTCCAGTTACTGTAAGGCCTGAACTCGTTCATTTCAGTTACTAAGCGTTCCTTCACAGTTAGCCACCCGCACACATTTACCACACAGTTACCAGAGAACTAAGCATATTGGTCACAAAGCTACCACAGTTGTCACAGAGTTACTACAGTTACCACAGACCTCTCCACAGCTCCCACAGCTAGCACAGAGTTGCTGAAGGGTTACCACACAGCTACCGCAGGGTTACGACAGAGTTACTGTAAGGTTACCACAGAGTTACCGCAGAGTTACTACACAGTCACCACAGGGTTACCACAGCTACCGCATGGTTACCACACATCTCGCACAGAGTTACCAGTGTTACCACAGTGTTACCTTACCACAGAGTTACCATACAGTTACCATACAGTTACCACAGACTTACGACAGACTCACCACGGTTACCGAAGTTAACACAGACTTACGACAGACTCACCACGGTTACCGAAGTTAACACAGACTTACCAAAGAGTTACGACACTCACGGAATCCACCGTGGTTAAAACACTTCCCGCATAGATGCCAAAGGGACACAGTCAATCGTACAGGAAACGGACTCTGACTGCAGAAGGAGACCAGTTCCCCAGGAGTTGGAAGTGAGGGTGCCTGTTTCCAACGTGTGCTTCCCAGCCAATTGAACGAGTCCAACCATATGTTACACTGCTTTCCAGTATCTGGTCAGGATTTGGTCAGCACCGTTATTATGCCGTGCACTACCCTTTTCACCGGAATAGAACACACGGTCATTACTGGTTGTATTTGAGGTAACTGTCAGTCTAGATACTCTGATAATGGCCATGCAGCATGCGCCCTATTCAGGTGAACACAGTAGCAGCCTGGCAGGACAAACACTCAGACACTGATATAGTTCAACTTCAAACAGGTTTCCAAGGAGGTAAACTCTTGGGTTACTGTGGTAGCTTAGTCACCACCGAGGGGTAAAAGAGAGCCTTGTGATACCTTTAACTGTTAGGTAACTACAGCAAATTTGTCGTTTAAGGAATCCGTTATGTTATGTTACATCCAGCAATGTTGCAAGGGGAGGGAGATTGTGGACAGGCAACCCCTATTCACTGATAACCGTCGTCTTACAGGGTTTGCCTTTCCTAGAAGCACCACGCTGACCGGAGCTGAAGAAATGAGAAAGTTTGATCAGGTATAGCGACAGTTATATCCACATCAGGGTTACAAGTCACATACTTGAGCTAACTTGTAGAGCATCCTTGAAGACACTGCCGTTGTGTGCGTCCGGAGAAGGTTCTTTGCCGCCTCAGATCGCTTCCAGTCGTACCCATAACTGAAAACAGGAAACATATCAAATTCAAAAACAATGGCTTAAACAAACACGCTCTGAGATGGGTACCGCCTGCACTGCAAACTTTCTTCCCATAGATGCGCCTTACGACTGTCTAAGATCCTCAATGGAGCTCCTCTTGTGGAAAGGAAAGGAGAAGAAGCTTACGCAAAAGAAAGAAGCAGAAGAAGAATAAGAAGAAGACAACAACAACGACGAAGGAGGAGGAGGAGGAGAAGAGGATGAAGGAGGAGAAGAAGAGGACGAAGGAGGAGAAGAAGAGGGCAAAGGAGGAGAAGAAGAGGGCAAAGGAGGAGAAGAAGAGGACAAAGGAGGAGAAGAGGACAAAGGAGGAGAAAAAGAAGGCAATGACGACGACTGAGGAGAAGAAGAGGACGAAGGAGGAGGAGGAGAAGAAGAAGAAGAAGAAGAAGAAGAAGAAGAAGAAGGGAGGAGGGGGAGGGGGGGGAGGAGGGGGACGAGTGGAAGGGAAAGGATAGTCATTCTTGACACTTACCCTGTCGATCCATAGCCGCCTCGCTCATGAACATTTTTAACCCTCTCCAGGTAATCTTCAGGGAAACTTCTTGCAGTTGCAGGCTCTGCATTAATTCCATACGTTTCATGGAAGGAAAAAGCTTAAGTTCACAGAACAACATTCAATACGCTTCTCACTGGACAAAAGCACCTCTCATCTTGTCTTGGTTTTTAAAAAACACGCGACAATTTCAAGAAAGCATTAAAATTTGAGCACCGAAAGGTGTAGTCATCTGTAACACACCTGCAAGGAAGAACGTGTCATGCGAGTCTCTTGCAGGATGCATCTGAGGTTGGAATAATGCGTCGAAGTTCCAGAAGCTTTCACACAGCACAAGAAAAACACAAACAGACATGCAACCCCAACGAAGCAGAAACGTCAGCCAACCAATCATCGCTTGAACCGGCCAATGAATTAACTACTCAATAAACTACTTGATAACTAATCAATCACCGGTTCCCTACCAATTATGCGTAGCTCGCAAATCCAACTCATTCCTTGCTGCGTATCTTGTCACTGCAAGTCCATTTTCCTCTCAATGTTAAGTCCATCAAGAGTCGAGACACTTCGCGCCTTTTCAGGATTCATATTACCAAGACAGGATCATGCAACCAGGAGGTGAGATTGTGGATTAGATGCAGACACAGAGTGGTGAGGAGTTGTCTTTGCTGCAGGCTCCCACAGCTGTGTGAATGCTTTTGATGGTCGGCTTTAACACCCCCCCGCACACACACACAGCCTCAGAGCAAAGTGCACCTTCCCATCATCCATCATCAGTAAAGCTCAGGCCTCACTGTTGCTATGTTTGTGCTTGGAGAGCATGCAACTGGTCCTAAGGCTGGCTACGTTCATGCATTGTCAACACACAATGATATCAAGATGGGGACTGGGCCTGTTCATGCATTCTGAGCACAATGATATCAAGATGGGGACTTGGCCTATGCCTATGAAAGAGCCAAGGAAGCGGTTGATATCCGCAAACAGATCTACGTATGGAACCAATTGTCCCTACTCCAGATTCTCAGTTGAAGTTCCGGCGGACTTACTGTGGGCCTTTACCCCAGCACTCACCAAAGGTAAAGAGTGACATGCCTGTGTCCTTCTGCTAACTCTATGACGATACTCTCCATTTCCGAAAAGGGGCGAGTAACAGAATGAGGTCCAGATGCTCAAAGTTCTCAATACCTCTTGCCGGTCAAAGGCAGTCGCACCACCAGCAACAATGACTGCCAGCAACCAGCACCATTGACGACTCTTCAAAATTCAGCTCATCCCATTGTGTACCTACGGCTGAACGCCACTGTGGCGGACATAGTCGGTGATTTTGCATGCAAAACTTCCTGTAAGGGACAGGCCGAATCAGACTACGTCCTGGTTTTTGCTAGGGAAGCAGACAATTACAATAATGTCAAAAAAGTATCTTTGATTCTATGGATGATATGCGTTGCATTCAGGGTTGTCAGACCGCCTATGGCCGACGCCTACCGTAGGCTGTCGGCTCGCCTACGAGTTGGGCCGACCCAAGGTGGACTGGTCAGCAGTCTGTAGAGGACCATCCACAGTTTTTTTTTTTTTCAAATCTGATTTCAGGGCTGTACTGCGCTTGCTGAGTAAGCTCAAATCCGCTGAGAAACTTTTGGGGATGGGGGGGGGC